ATTCCTGCTTTGCAGTTTTCTAGTGGTATAACAAATTCCATAAAAATGGTTTTCGTTGTTCCTGCTTCAGAGTGGTGGGTATTTTTTCCATGTAAGTATCCAGTAAAGTAGGATGCAGCCCTGTCAGCTTTTCACTAGACACTGGCTCCAGGGTGTGATACCGCATCCTTTATTACACAATGTAGTTCCTGGTTTGGACACAGGATTTTGTTTCCTTCAAGGTTATAGTCTCTCAGAAAGTGCAGACAGACTTCAGCTGGGGGGAGTTCCATCTCTTAAAGCCGTTTTAAGCTTTCTTTAACAATGCTGGTTTCTTGAATAGCTCCCAGACACCTGTGCAGTGTCACTTCTTTGTATACAGGTTGAAAATACAGTGTAAGGCCATTGTATGAAGTATATTAAAAGGGAACCCTTGGGAGGAAAGCCAGAAATTATCAAGTTTTTAGGTGAAACAATGGCAGTTGTTGATTGAAAAAGCGGGACCTTGTTCTGAATTCTGCTTACAGTTTTGTCTCTTATTTGGGGAGGTAGCTGAAGGCTTGAGAAAATGATATGGTGCATCCAGACCTACAGCTCAGTGTTTCTGTCATTGGCACTGTTGCAAGTCAACAGTCTGTGCAAAATTAATTCACCTGAGAGGTACTGTAGTGGTATAGTGGCTAGTTGAGTTCTCAGAAATTGAGATTCACGCATAAACTTTTTAAATGTAGTTGTTGAACAATGATGAGAGTGGAATGAGCTGAGGGCAGTTCATGATACCTGCAAATTTGTACATGGAAAATAAGGGGATGGGGTTGATGTGTTCATATGGGTCATCTGGAGTATGCCACTTTCTGTTAGGATTGTGGTCTGAAAGAGATGCAATGTGCTTCCTTGTTTTCAGTATGTGCCAAAGTTTAATCATGTAACTGTTATTGAGTTGGGTGTAGGCTTTCCTGGTTTTTTTTTAATCCCTTCCCTTGTAGGACTCCAGGAACTTGTGTATTGCAAGGTCCTACAACAGAAATACTTGGGTTTCTGGTTCTGTCAGTTATAGGCCTAACCTAATAGCTATCAGAATTTGTGCACATGGGCTATGAACTAGACTTAAAGACCTAGTCCTGCAGAAGCTGTGTGTATAGACTAAAATGCTTATGTCAATTAAATATGACAATCATGTTGACTCAAATGTACTTCTACCCTCTGGATCTAGAAATAAAGTTCACAATCATATGTGTCTGCTACCTATTACATGTTTTGGTTGATGTTTATGAACTACTGGTTAGATAAATTCCTCATCGATCCAAGCTAGGGTAGATAAACTTACCACCACCACTTTAACCAGTAAAAAGAAATTTCAGGGTCTCACTACTGAAAGTTTCTGCTGTGGATTTACCCTATCAGCAATTCGAGGCTGTGGCAAAACTGATAAATAAAAGAACAGATACTTTTGTTTAAAGAAATATTTTAATATAAAATGCAGAGCAAATTGTACAAAGTGGCTGATTCATTATCAATAATCAGTGGTGCATTTTGTGCTCTTGAGGCAGTGTTCCCTTTTTAGAAAGTACCACATGATACTACAGGTTACTGTAAACAAACAAGGTTTACATGTTAATGGCATAGTTTATTTCTACAAAAGGTGTAATTTGGCATTTAAACTTGTGTGTATGTGTAGTTTTTATGTGTTTGGTGCAGTGGTTTGGGGTTTTTTTTTCAATATACTTTACCATAAAGTTGCTATGTTGTCATCATGCCACAACCAATGAAGGATTTTCTAGCATACCAGATTTATAGGTTTTGTGTATAAAAAGATATGAAAAGTACTTGTTGCTATTCAGTTGTTAATATTAGTAATTATTTTAATATCTTACAAACTAGTATACCTCAACATTCCTTCCTTATCATTCATAACGTCTTTTGAACGATCTTTGTAGATCCTTTTGAGGTTGTAAAATAGAAAAGTATAAGCTGTTGAATAATCATGTGAGTGAATGTCTTTTTCATAGTGCAAATAAGTATCAAACCCAAAAGCTCTTCTCTTCATTCAAAGCCACTACTGGAGTGTAACCTTGTTATCACAAGTACAGATAAATTTTTGTTTGGTTCAATTTAATTTACTTTAAAGATTTGGGGGAAAACTTAAAAAAATTAAATCCATGACATTGAAGATGCTTAAAAAAACAGCAGTTTTTAAAAGCTAAAAAGAAAAACTTCAGGATTTCTCCTAGAGGAAGGTATTCAAATGGGGGTGGGAAAGCTCATGAGTAAATATATTACAGGCTAGGAAATAGAACAGGAACTCATTCACCATCACTCATTTTCATGGAAGAAAGTAGACAGTGTTTCAGTTGCAGACGAAGGTAAGGCAATAGTGAATCAGACAGTAATATTTTATTTTTCACAATCTGTTTGCAGATTGACCTTATGAGTTGTAAAATTAATTGGTACATTATGTTTGCCTGGAGCTATGGTGGTGAAAGCAGTGAGGAAAAAACAACAGCCTCCCGGGCCTCTCTCCTCAGAGGAAAACTAGGAAAGCAGAACAGTTCTGAACAAGTGCAAAGCACAGAGTATCTCTTAGGAGTACATCCTCTTAGGTATAAGTCCACAGTGAATTTAAGATTAACTTGAGCTACACTTTTTCTTTCAGTGCTAACAGTAATAAAATGAGGTCGCTTTGAACTATTAACTATGAAGAATCAAGTACTCAAAACTAAGTCATGTTTTTCTTCTGTGTGTAACTTTGATGGCTGGCTTCCCTCCACCCCGCGATATTCTCCTCAGGAACGAAATTTCTAATTTTATGGAGGGCTATATAACTACAGTTACACTGATAGCCTAGCTCCTTTAATTTAGTTAAAACTAAACATTTCCTCATTCAGAAGCATCAGCTGATAGACATTCTAGCAGGTCACTGCTGCTAGACCCTTGAATATTCAGTCTTGCTCCTTAAATGTAGTTTTTTTCTGTTTGTACTGCAGCAATCACTGACCTCCAATTGTCACACAAATATCCTTATCACTCTTTCAGGAAAAATAAAACCTAAGTGATCTTTTAGCCATCTTTTTGTTTCTGCTCTTTTTCATTATCTTGTTTCTGCTCAGATTTGACCAAGTGTTTGGGTATTACAAAAACACTGCCATCGCTACTGCAATGAATGACATACTGGCATGGGTTAAAAGGTCTACCCTGGTCATCCTTCAACCTACTGAAGATGTCATGGTACAAGTTGTTTAACTTTTGCTTCATCTGACTGATTGATCTGCTACACTGAGAGTGCTCCTTTTTAAGGCTCTCCTTTTGTGTTTGAAGATTACACACGTCTTCTTCCAAGTTAAGAATTGCATTCAGTTTGCGTTTACGGCAATTTTGGGCAGCGACCTTGTTTTTTCCTCTCCGTCTGATGTCACGAAGAAGTGATACCTGAGTATCTGTCAGATGGTTCTTTGTGATCATGGTGTTGAAAGAGTCGACAGGCATGCTCACAATTTCATCAACTGAAAATGGTAGTCTCAAAGCTTTTGCGCGATGTTCATCACTGCTAAGGTTTGTATCAGTAGAATTATGGCACCTATCCTTTACTTCATTGGGATTCTTCATCCACATCTGTTGATACGCTGGAGTGGGTGCTGCTTGACTTGGCAGCTGATTATAAGTGTAGTTATGAAGAAACTGCTGAAGTGTGGTTTCTCTAGAACACTCTGTATCACCTGGATATTCCACATGACCATAATTAGTGTGTTCTTGGCAATGGCCTCCAAGAGTCCCTAACCCCTGTGAGGAAGCAGATTTCACACCATTACTGTACTCAACAGCACCTTCACTGCTGACTAAGTAAGAGACTGTGCTGTGACTTGGATTCAAAGACAGTCCCGAATCTGAGCCAGGTTCTTCAAAGAGCTGAGAAACTTCTATAGTATCAAAGCCGTTCTCCAAAGCCAAAGACATGAGTTTAATTTCATCAAAATTATCCTCATGGGCCATTAGGTTTCTAATGTCAGCAGCTGAAAACAACGCTGTCAAGTTTGACCCATGAAGTGACTCTGGATTTGTAATATTAGAACTTAACTGAGAAAAATGTTCTTGCCTTTGTAAATGTCTTGTTTCTGAACTTGATTGAGTGGAGTAGTCTGTTCTTAGTAGCGTGGCATCATGAGGACTGAAACAGTGGTGAAGTGTATGGGTCAGACTTATATTGTGGTGTGAGGATGATGGGTCTCGACCTCTGTTAGAAGTAGCAACTTGTATATCTTCCAGTGAACTCACCTAAAAGATGATGGAGGGAAGAAATACAATCTTATAAAATCAATGCCTCTGCATCTCTTACCTACAGTCTTGATCAACTTGGTTTTTAATATTCCACTATCTGACTTATTAAAGTAAAAATCGTATATGTTAAACTCTTCTTTTAGAAGAGAGAAAGCATAACCTGTGTTAGCATATGGCAACTGGAAGCAGGAAGGGTGCAGAAGAAGAGTGACTGAAGGGACGGGAGAACTCATGAAGGACAGTCTGGGACTGATGAGCATCGAGAAATAGAAATGGGACTGTTAATTACATCAAACTATAGCCCACGTGCTATATCTGATCTGGTCTAAGAAAAAGTCCTTCTGGGAGGAGCAGTCCTGACCCTTTCCTGGTAGTGTTACTGATTCCATGGTGAGCTGGTTCAAGGTGCTAAGCTATTAGAAGATTAACCCTGTAAAGAAGACAAATAGCTCACTTGTGGGATTTAACTAGTGAGTACAGTGGTGTAAGAAAAGAGGAGAGTAGGACAGGAATATTAAGATCATGTTGTCAGTCTCGCAGCTTTTCTTTCACAGTTCATAAAGCTTTTGGGGCTGTGAGCTGCCACATTTGACTTAGCCCCTTAACTGAGGTCTACTGTGTCTACATTTCAAGTCAACTCCTTTACTAACCAGTTTGGAGGAAGTATGTGTGTGTGTCCCCAGATCATACCTTCTGTAAACGTCTTTTGACTTTAAATTACTACTTCATTTTTCTTTACAAAAATAAAGCAGCTGTATGTTCTCAGCCCTGAAGACCAGATGATAAACAAGTGTTTCAGTAGCATTAAGGCCCACTTTTTGTGGGCCTGGGTTATAGTTGCCAAGTCCTAGAAGTCCAAAACCACTATGCAAGATTATGTCAGGGCACTTGCTGACAAGCAGAGTAGTCAAAAAATAGACAATGTAAATGTAAAGAATGTAAATACATCAAGCAGGAAGTGTATGATAGGATTCCTTCATAGCTGAGCATCCCTGTGTTGCTGTAAAGGACTTTTCTGACTGTTGTTCACTGAACAACGTAAAAAGCACTTTCCACAGGGAAGTGATCTACTACTACCAGAACATCTCAAGTTCTCTGTGGTTACTGGAAGCTCAGGTAACAGAAGAAAGTCTTGTCTTATTCCTTCTAGGGAGTTATCTTGTACTAGACCTGTAGTCTGTGAGATAGAGCTAGTATTTTCAATTAAGCCCTTGAAAATAAATATTCTTAGCAAGCTAACTATTGAAAAAGACCCCATACTATGAAGACTTGGTACCTGGAAGAAATAAGTAATCCATTTTCAACAGATAGGTTGTCACAAGATGGCAGTGCATTAATAGTCTTAAAATAAAACATACAGCCATATATTTTTATAGCTACACAAAGGCTACAGCCAAATTCCTTTCAAATTACGAAAACAACAGATAAAACTAAACTGATAAACTTCTGAACCTTGTTAGTGTGCAATCCGTTACCAAAGCTGAACAGAGGAGGAGGCTAATTTATGGGCTAGGAAGCACTATCCATCCTAGAGATTCCCCAAACAAGGTGTTCTAAAGATAAGCATGAACTTAACATGGAAAACACTAATGTCCCTGGAAGGCTCCTACAATGGGAAGCATATGTAAGATGCCCTTGAAATATTGCAAGAAAGGAATATGTAGGGAGTAGCTGTATGGTTAATGGTTGCAGCTATGAACTATGGGAAAGGAGGGATACTCCCATTAAGATAACAACTGGGGTTTGTGAAGATGGGCACCCAGAGAGTAAACAATAGTATCAGAAGCCCAGAAGATAAAGAAAACAAAATGGGTTTGCTCCTAATGCTGACTGACCTGATCTGCAGCGAAGATGGGTCTGTTCTTCTTGAGGGTAGAATCCCTGTAAGCACTTGTGTTGGATGGGTCTAACGTTGTAAAAATTGGTCCATGGTGGACCATCCCTGATCACCTGGAGTGGGGGTGCACGGCGGGGAGCTGGCAAGGCCACTCCTCCTGGCACAGGCTGACCCCCTGCCTCAGGACGAATGTGCGTGGGAAAAAGGAAGCCAGCAGGGCCACTGCTTGGGACACAGGCTGACCCCCTGCGTCAGGATGACTTGGCACTTTTGGGGATATAAAAGGCCCAGGGGTTTGAGAAAGATCAGTAGAAGAGAGGAGGGGGAGAGGAGAGAAGATGGGGAGAGAAGAGGGAGACAGATCCAGCTACCTTTTATGGTTGACATTACCTCCGCGGGGACACCCGCAAAGGAGTGCCTGCCAGCCTGATTGCTCTCAATGCACCTCGGAGCTGGCCTCCTGGTCATCGAACAAATGTGTAGGTTGGTAAGAATCTGTGCCTAATCTGTACTTCGGTAGCCTTTAGTGCTCTGTCTTTCTGGCTTGGGATATCTCTGTGTTTTACATCAGTTTTAGAGCTTGTAATAAACTTTCTCGTAGCTTGGGGTGTATATGTGTGGCTTACGTTCCTTCTCCACCCGGAATCCTTCAATCCTGGAACAGCACTCGACTCAATATTTATGACAACTGTAATCTTTCACCACAAATGCTTAATAGCTGCTAGTGCTTAATAACTCACTGTTGCTCTACTGAGTTGCTGTATAAATATGAACTTGGGTTGGGTTTCAGAAGGGGAATTATAAGTTCTACTATTATACTACAACAGAAAGTTCTGCTATTATTATATTCTACTACAATTATGTTGTCCAGCGGCTCTTTCCAACTTTGAGCACCAGGTCACAGCAAACACAGGACTTCACAGTTTTCATATTCCAGACAAGTTACTGGGGAAAATTTTTCAAGTAGAGCCAATGACAGCTGCTGTAAAAGGTGTGATTTTACAGCATTTACATTTACAGCATTTACAACATTTACTTTATTGTCTTCAGGTAAGTTTAACTATGTTGATTTGCTGATATATTCCCTGGAGTGGGAGCTTATTGGATAAAACAGAGTAAGTCATTATCCAGTAATCACTAACTGTATTCCAATCTATTAGCAATACATGTGCTTTCTCATTTACCTCTAGCATGTTTTCCATCTGCGATGATAGAAGCTGTAAATAGTTCTCTAAGGAAAGAAGAGAATCTACATGGTTGCGGTTGCTCTGTGACAGAAGAAACAGAAACACTTTGTGAAGCACAGTTATTTTACATAAAAGAAGGTAAAAATCCAAGTCTGAGAGGAAATAGAGCACAGCTCTGTGAAATACTGCTGCTGACCCCTGCTATCAAGTCTTTGTCCTGATGGGAGATGTCAAGTTGCTAGAACAAGCAGAATAACTCCATGGCAGGAGTACTCTGCCTCATGACAGCAGAACTGGGCTTGCCTCCTCTCCAAGGCTGCACTTACCCACCACTGTGGAAAAATCAAGGGTTTTGTCAAAGCCTAGCTGCCAGCGCAGTGGTGAACAGAGGGGCTGGCAAGAAACCTGGATTCAATGTTCTCAGCTCTTACAATGTCACAAGCAGATTGAATAGTCTTTTCATTGTAACTCCCAGAGAGAACAAAACCCAAAGTGCAGATGTTTCGGCTAATATTATTATTTCTCTGCCTTGTAGTTACAACACACATGTTAAGATCTGAACAATCCATTTTCCCAAATGTAATTCTACATCTGAGCATCAATCTTTACATGAATGGTGAAAACAGTGTAATTTAGCATCCACACCTCTAGTGTTTGTAGTCCCCAAAAAAATCCTTGCCCACAAATGCACCACCTTCATGATGAAGAAAATAAAACCAATTTGACAAATGGTTAGTTGCAAGCGATTTCTGTAAAATTTAGAACATTTCAACTACATAAACTGTACTGGGGATGAGAGGAGGGCAACTTTTGAAAAGCTGTACATCATTCACATAGTATTGTCTGAAGTCACTGTTCCTTTCCTGCTCTTGCAAGGGACACTCCAAACAAAAAGAGGAAATCAAATACTCTTTCCAAACCCATGCACTCTGTTTCTTCCACTACTCTATCTCAGTAAAAAGATGTAAATCCTCCCTCACTTCCTCCTCACACTTTTCCCTTCCATTTTTCTCATCATTTACTTGATTTATGTCTTCTTCCTCCTCTTGCAGTTCCAGCTGACCATCTCCTTGGTGTGGACAGCAGTCATCCAAAGCTTCTTGGCATGCTTTTAGGTCAACATCCTGAAAAATAAAACAGTTCCATTAAACAACACACTGTCAAAATCCTTAAAATACACTTTTTCCACAGCTACAGCATTTCAAATGAAATATACAACCGTTCATTCCTGTGGATGAACTGACTCTGTGTAGACTTTGGGGGCAAAATGAGACAAACAGCAGTTCAGGAGTGTGGACACTGCCTTCTCTTTCAGTGGCCAGGCACTGAACCCATCTGCAGTGTTAATGGACGTTCATAAAAACTGAAAAGAAATTCGTCTCAGACACATGATGATGTGATTTCATGGAAAGTTCGGGCTATCGTGTCTTCTGGATGTCATTTCACAACAATGTATCCAAGCGTCTCACATTTGGAATCATGACCGTTCACTGTAGTGTACCAAAGGGAATGTATCATTTCTACTGAATGAGCTTAACAATACTGCGCTGTATGGCTTTGAAGATTAGTCTTACTACTGCCACCATTTCTTCTTCCAGCAGATGATATTAAAATATGCCCATGCCTGCTCACACTGATTACTACTGCAGTAAGTTATCCACCCTTCAAAAAAACCCCTGTTTTCACCAATACCAGGGCAGTTTCTGAAGGAGCACGGCCCTGTGACCAGCTTTTCACAACAGTGGCAGTACAGATACAGTGCATGTAAGATTTTCCACAGCACCTATTTCTACATATGGGATCATTTCAATGAAACACTCTATATGGAAATCAGGTAACACAATCAGAACCTTTTCCCCTTAATGTCTCAGTTTTGGCTTTTAGCGAAAATCCCCTGGCTTATGCTGTTAAAGATTTACTCTCTGACATTACACTTTTCTTTCCCAGTGATAAAGAGCAGCTGAAAAATACTGCTCAACAAGAAAATGCTTCTTTCCATGCCCATGCATCATTTGGGATTGATTGCTAGGCTACAGCTAGGGAAACAATAGGAGGGGAGGGGTACCTCCCCTAGAAGCAGCCATATCACGGTTTTTAATAAGGCATTTCTTTCAAGATAGCTTAATTTTGTATTTTGAATACACATCTAATGACAAATGGGTTTAGGTATAAATACTACTTAATTAGTACTGCGCTGCCACGCTTAATGTTTCTGTCCTGTGGCTTATTTTGCATTAATGGTAGCAGAAGAAACAGTAATTGACTTCTAGCAATACCACTATGGGCCCAAGAGCTAAATCAGGACCACATGTGGTTGGCCTCTGTACAGAGAAAAAGACTGACTTTTGCTGATTGTAGAAGTCTTAGTATCAACAAACCCCTTTATATCAGCAGCCTTTCTACTACTACCACTGGAGGGTGTGGAAGTTCACACCTCCCACAGCAGGCTGTTTCCAGGTAAACTGTAACCCTATCTGAATACAACCTTCAATTTGCATTTGGAAGGATCTCTGTGCAAGCACAAGGCAGAACAATTACCCTAAAGCTTCCTCAAAAACATAGTGAAAAAATAAAAGGTATCTCAAATTCTAGTCTTGCTTCTGCCATTTACTAGTTTCAGTTGCACAAGAAAACATGATCTGAGGCTAAATCTGATTTACCAGATTATCCACCAGCTTTGTAGGCTGGAGGGCTGGGCTTTAACCATGTAGCATCTGCCCTTTCCCTAAGGTACAATTTACCACAGGTCAACTATCAGCTTCAGTTTGTCAGTCTTTGGAATATGAAAAATAGTAATCTGTGTTAAATCTGCTGCTTAAGGTGATACAAGTACCAATGTGGAGGTGAGAGAAAGTATGATTCTGTGAGTGGCCTGGCCTACACTTAATTGGAAGGATGCTGCCAGCTCTGGCAAGTTTCCGGAGTTTCTTACTACATTAAAAATAGACCCTTCAGTTTCCAATTAAGTACATTGATCTCGGCATTAACTGAATGCACCATACATCAAACTATCCCTTGGCATATCTCCTCCTTTTTCTTCCCACACCCACATACTATTTGCTGTCCATAAATCAATGTGTAGGGAGCAGAACCTGTAATGATATCAAAGTATGAATAGATCTACCATGATGGGTTGGGTGGGTGAACAAGACCCCTCTCTAGAAGTAGCAGAAAGCATAAGCAAGCTGTTTTCAGCTATTGATCAGTGTGCAGTTAGCAAACAATTACACAGCTAAAAGTGTACAGAAATACCTGAACTAGCTTTGGAGTAACAGAAACAGCTTGCTGCAACAGAATAGGGCAGACAGGGAGGTTTGCCTGGGTGTACAGACAGCACTGAGGGGCAGGAGGTACCTGCCCCAGGAAAGCTGTTTCACTGCACTCAGACTCCGAGTTATCTCTACAAATATCCCAGTGCTAGAGCAAAGGTATATGACCACCATTATTTGCAAAAGGACACGTTTGTGCTGATTTGTGCTCATGTATCCTGCTCACATGCTGTGTTCTAATCCTCTACAACACATTCTCCTTATTTAAGTTGTCAAGCTTTAAATTGCTCCATTACTGTCATTAACCTTTGAGATGCTTCTCTGCAAACTTCTGTCCCTTCTCCTCTACTATCTGCACTTCTCTGTAGAATTGGCCCTTTCCTTGCTACTACCTGAAAAGATGTGGCACATCTGGTGATCTTTGCCATATTTTGAATAATGAAGTACCATTTCCAGAAAATAGTCTCACACCAGTAGAAGTTAGGCAAAAGAACTACAGTGTCTCACAGCAGAACCAGTAGTTTCACTTTACTACTTTGTAAGATTAAATACAATTAATAATTAAATGTAATGGTGCAGAGTGGTTATCATATAGCTCTAAGGCTACTGATGTTGCTCTTTGCCTGGTTACGTTAAATATGTGGTGATAATTAATCTTACCAATTGATATCTACTTAATTTCAGCTAAAAAGCAAAATGTTTCTTGCTGTTTCTCTGTATTCACAATAAGGCCTAGAATATCCTGAAAACACAGGAACAGAAGAGTACTTTATTGTTTGAAATGCAGCCAGAGTTTAGAAAGCAAGGAGAGTGGAATGGCAGATGGAAACATCAAATAGAAAAGTAACTTTCATGTTATATATGGGTAGGCTAAAAATCACACTAAACTATGCTAACTAAGCAATGCAATTGAGTAAATCAAATGGTACATAACTGTGACTTCAAATGTGGCACCTGTCAAATGCCTATGACACATCTACTCTAAATCTTAGTAATACCATCTGGGCTGCAACCAAAAGCACACTGTTAAAGGCACTCCACTTGTTGCAGTGAGTTGTTAGCACCTTTAACCACACGCATTTCGGAAATGAAAGTGCTCGGGCTTTATATAGCATGGCTCACCTACGTCAGCTATCTGAAAACACACACTCTGTGCACTGTGTTTAGCATAAACACAGAATTATCACCAACCTACTCCCCACATGGAGACAGAGATGGGTATAAGTTGAAGGCATAGACACAAATAGTATTGCCACTAATTTCAACGAAGACATCAGTTTTCATGCTGAAGACAGCTCAATATCCCCTTTAAAATGAACTTTTAGAACTGCTTCTAAAACATAAACCAAACAGTTTCACACTCCATCCATTTGGTCCTGTGTGGTTGTTTAGCACCAGGAACTGATTTCATCCTAAAGGATACAACATCTCTCACAGTAAATATGATGAAAGTTATTAAATTTATTCAGTCACTCTCTCAGATTAAGCACAGTTTAAAAAAAGCCTCTGCTGTCCCAGGATGCTTTCTATTGTGGTCAGTGAACTACATGACATTGGGGTTCTGTAAGAGACTCTCTTCTTTCTCTCTTTCTCCACCTTTACCCAGGCTAAAGTATAAAGGGACCACTTTTTCTGATAAATCTTTGTCCACAACTTAATTCTGGATATCTTCCTTTTGAGCCCTCCAGGGAAAACTTACTTTCTCAGGTATCCAGCTCCCAACTTTCTCAACCTATCGGCTTCATTGCAATACAAAATGCTTGCCAACTCACAGCTCTGCATAGGGAGTGCTGTTAAAATCCACAGTCTGCTATTTTGGCTCCTCTGGGATTTGAGTATCTTCACCTTCCCTCTGACACTGTATGTAATTCCTCTTCTACTTTTCACATTTACCACACCCTAATTCTTCCTTCTTTATGCTTGATACCACTCATCTCCTTTCACATACAGTTCCCATGCACACCCTGTATCAGGAACACCTTACCTCCTCTGGTAAGGAAGCAGGAAAATGCTGGTGAAGGTCAGCCACACATCACTGACTCCCTCTACACCCTTCTTGGCTACTTGTTTGACTTTGCTTTTTCTAACCCTTGTGCCTCCTGCAGCACTCCATAACAAAAACTGAAATCGCAGTCTTTCAGGACAATACATACCTCAAATGTTTGAGGCTCTTCTCTTACCCCACCTCTCTCTGAAACACCACATAGTCCTTCACACACCTTCTTCTTAAACCTAGCTGAGTTCTGGTTAATGGGTAAGAGCCAGCCACAAGCAGGGACCTGTCCCAGCCATCTATTTGCAGATGTTCCTCCACAGCAATATTGCCATGCCATTGCTCAGCGAGTTCAAAAGAAAATAGAAAGAATAATTTGAAGTATGATCTTAAGGTCCTTTCCAACCCTAACTATTCTATGATTCTATGATAAGTTAAGCACACAGCTTCAGTGGGACTGCTCTCATATGGACTGGAGAAAAGCCTTCAGGAAAAAGCCTACTTGGTTTCTATGTACCTTTGCTTTACCGAACTTCTGACACTCACCAAGAAAAAGAATCTGTAATTCAAACTATTCAACTATTCTCATTCCGTGTAAGTACATCAAATGGTTCCAGAAGACCAGGATTCGCCCCTTCCAATGCTTTAATACTGTGAAAGCCTAACAGTGTTCAGAGAACTGTGTATGTATGAGGTTTTATATAACCTGACCCAAACTGCTTTTCTAAACATGAACAGAGAGACTAGTCCAAACAATACAAATTATACACTGTGCATCTTCTTCCTTAACTTTGGTAATTCACAAACACCCCCAATGTTATGCTGTTAATTGTTAATTAGAGCAGGTGTTCCTTAACTGAGC